TAGAAAATCGACTACCGATTTGGTGTGATATGGGTGTGATAATCATGTGATATCACTATCATAACAGCGCACTCGATTTGATCATGGTTTCGATCAGTTAGGATTAGACGATCACATATTTATCACAACGATTACGGACGAAATCCACTAAACAATTTGGTGTGATATGAGTGTGATAATCATGTGATATCACTATTATAACATCACTTGCGYACTCAATTTGATCATGGTTTCGATCAGTTAGGGTTAGACAATCACACATTTATCACAACGATTACTCATGGTTTCAATAGGTTATGGTTACAATTGATTGATCATGATTTCGACAGGTTATGGTTACACAATCACACAATTATCACAAGGAGAGAGAAGAGAGTGGAAACGAACATGCAGGAAAAAAAGGGATAGTTATGACTAATTAAAATAAAATAAAAATTATAAAAATTAATTAATTACATTAGTGCCCTTATTAATTTATTTATATTTAATATAAGTTAATTTATTAATTAAAAAAGTTTGAGGTTATTAGATTGTTCTTGCGTTCTCGTAATACACACAGGGTTGGGTTCACGTGAGACCAAAAGTTTTTCGTGAGACCCGTAAGACCATTTATATTCATTGATTAACTTTATAAGTGAATGATCTAATAGTCTAAATTGCACGATGACAATTTTGTGATTACTGAGAAGTCTCGTGACATTTATGAATGTTTAGATTTTCATATTATAGATCTAATCCAAAGGTTGTGAATTGGTCTTACGGGTTTCACGAAAAAACATTGGTCTCACATGATCCCAAGTCTATACACACAAATATATATATATATATATATATATACAAATATATATATATATATATATATATATACACACACACACAAATAGACTTGGAATCATGTGAGACCAAGGGTTTTCCATAAGACCTGTAAGACCAATTCTCAACCATTGGATTAGATCTACAATCTGACAACCTGAACATTCATAAACGTCACGAGACTTCTTAATGATCACAAAATTGCCACCGTGCAACTTTAGACCGTTAGATCATTAGCTTATAAAGTTGATAAATGAACATAAATTGGTCTTATGGGTCTCACGAAAAACCCTTGATTTCACGTGAACCCAACCCTACACAAATATATATATATATATATATATAGGGGGCTGGTGGTTCAAATGTTAACAAAGATTATTGTGTTAACTTTGTTAACCAATCTTGACCATTGATTCTTATAATAAACGGTTGTGATTAATCATGATAAGAAAATTAATTTTTTAAATTTACAATTTCAAAAAACATATGTGAACAAAGGGGAAAAGAGTATTTAGGTAATTTTCTTTTTTATGTAACTCCTACATCATTAATTGGGAGTTACAAAATCAAAAAATCTCATTATTTTTGTTAATGTAAGAACCATACAAACACATCTATATATATGAACCATTGTGTCAAATACGAACAAAAATTGACATATATATGAACTTGGACTGCATAGCATTTATGAACATAATATGAACATAATAAGAATAACTGCTACACGAAAGGAAATAAATAAGAAAACAGGTATGAACATAATATGAACAGTTTGTGAATAATAGTTCCTTCATTATGAACACATTCAGGAGCGAATCAATGTTGAGATATGTAGCTAGTGTACACATGAACACAATATGAACACTTGTGAATGATAGTCCCTTCACTATGAACACATTTAGAAGAGAACCAATGTTGAGATATGCAGCTAGTGTACATATGAACACAATATGAACAGCTTGTGAACATAGTTCCTTCATTATGAACACATTCAGGAGCGAGCCAATGTTGAGATATGTAGCTAGTGTACATATGAACACAATATGAACACTTGTGAACAATAGTTCATTCATTATGAACAATGAGTTTATCCATAATAACTTGAACGATACCGAAAACTTTACTATCGGGTCTCTTCTACCAATCACAAATTCAAAAACATTATAAATAGAAAAACCAATATTATAAAAAGAACAAGATCAATAATAAATTAACAAAAATTATAAATTCAATATTAGATGCCTTGATTCATGTCCTACTAGAACATAAATGAACACAACTGAACGTATATGAACGCACCTAAACGTATATGAACACTAGTTGCAGCCTATGGCAGGTCAAACATCACAAGCAGCTGATGGATCTGAATGGTTATCAGAATTGGATTGCATAACAAATTAAGTTGACGATGAACTCATTCCATTTGAACGTATTAATTGGGCTCGTAGTAATAATTAAAGAAAAAGCTACCAACACAATATGAACTATAAAAAACACAAAAACGTCATAATCAACATAATTTCGATTAAAACGAATACAATAACATACTAATCCATTACCATTACAAACGCTATGATTATTGTCTTCAATTCCGGAACTCGTAGTTCAATTGTCATCGTAAACCATTTTAACCTTCCCATTGTTGTCGAGTTGTTTTCCAATGGGTTTATCCATATTAGTTTGAACGGTATCGAAAACTTTACTATCGGGTCTCCTTTAACAATCACAAATTCAATAACATAATAGATAGATAAATCAATATTATAGAAAAACAAGATCAATAGTAAATCAATAACAATTATGAATTTTTTTGATTTTGTAACTCCTAATTAATAATATGGGAGTTACATACAAACTAAAGTTACATATTTACCCTTGTCATTAAATTATGAGATAGATATGAACCTAGATAAAAAATGAATTTTCATTGGTTGAGCTTGGTTAACAAAGTTAATACAATAATCTTGGTTAACATTTGAACTAAGTACTTTCTCTATATATATATATAATGAAGCAGGATCCGAATGCCTCATGATTTCCCGTTTCATTGCTGATAATAATCATGATTTAATGAAATATCTATTTCTCAAACTACTAATTGAAATTATAAAACAAATCAAAAATATAGTTTTTAATCAACTTTTACGGATTCTCCGTTGACCACCGTAGATGAAAAACTGGATGATTAAGATTAGGTAGCATTGTGCAAATGATGGTGATTGTAATATAAACCACCCTATATACATATATAATATTCTATTATTATATAAACTATTATATTTATTGATTATATCTTTGTATATTTAATGCCAAATATTTGAATCTGAAAATATATACATCCTATTGCTTATAAATTCATATCATCATTGAAATTATTAAAACGATGTATCTAATATCGATTCAATTCTGTAAATAAAAGTCTATCGGTTTCGAATCTAAACATATCTTATTTTAAACCCCCCTCTTTATCCCCTTTAAACCACCCTTTTATACATTAAATGAAGCTCTAGGAACTCTCATGTCATCAAACTCAAAGGAATTATAAGGTAATTTTAAATCAACTCTCTTTTCCACTTGCTAAATAATTATCATTTATATTTTTATACAAGTCAACGTCAATAGCGTGCCTTTTACATTTTTGATATACGTAAGTTTGATTTAATTTAAAATTAAAGGCTGATCTAAACTAGTAGCATTTGCCGTCTGATTTAGACCATCTCCGGTCATAATCTGAACAATTAGATTGTGAATAAGATAAAAAGAGTTTTAGAGGAAAAAAGAAATAGGTTATCAATCTCTACCAATCCTTCTCACTCAACAATCCAGGATTGAGGCATTCTTTACTAAATGAAATTGACATGTGACATTTGTTTATTGGTTAGTTTAATTTTTTTTAAATATATAATTTATTTAATTAAAAAGTGACTTTAACAGGAAAAAAAATTAAAGATTAAAAAATATACCAAAATTCATAGTTTTCAATTTTCTCTAAGACACTATTGATCTATTTTCATACTTACTTTTGTGACTTGTTTTATTTAATTTCAATTGTATGATAAGTTTTTTATAGTTATAATCACGTTTTAAAATATACAATAATCCGTTTAATTTATTTTTAATATTTAAATTAAAAATAATTATTATATATGAATATATATATATATATATATATATTTACAAAATTATATTTTTGATTGGATTGGATCACGGTTAAATGAAAGAAGAAGTGAGATTGTGTAGGTGGATGAACGAGAAAGTAATATTTTAATTGAGATCGAGTTAAAAAAAATTGTGAGTAAACATAGTCTTAGAACCAAACTACAAACCTTACTACATAAACCTAAAACCGCACTGCAAAATGCAGTTCGGTGCAGTGCAATTTATGCCGTTTGTACCTATCGTACTTTACACCTACAATCCCACAACTATTAATTCAAAAATACATTATAAAATCAACGATAAAATGGCTGTAGTCCAAAAAAATAAAGATTTTCAATACATCTGATTCCCATATATATATTGTATAATTAAAAATAATCTAAGAAGTAAAAAAAATAAACTTCAAACTAAAGTGGACATATAAGTTGTGACATGTCCAACTAATTTATTAATATTGTCGATTACTATATTGAATTAAACTCAAAATCCAAAACGGAAAGTCCGAAAATATTACATAAATAATAAATTATTATCTCTCTCTATATATATGCGTGTGTGTTATATAAAATTAAAAAATGTGCAAAATATGCGGTGCGGTACGGTTAGAATCACGGTTTGACAACTCAAAACCGCAAGTTTCACTGCATTGTACCGTTTATTAAAAATGCAAACCGCAAATTATACTGTAAAAATTCTAAACCGTGTTTTGCGATGCGGAACGGTAGGATATGAGCGATTCGTTACCCCTAATCTAAAGAATCAAACTTTAATATCTGTGGGATTTTGTAAGTTGTGATTCAAGTTGATATTGCATTAATGATCAAGGAGCAAGTGGAAGCCGGACCAACTTAGCCACTAGCTCGGTGGGCTAACCACCATAAATAAGAATGGCCACAAATTCATCCCATTCAACTCCACCTTGTTTTTGACTTTGAAAAAGTCTTGGTCAAAATCCTTCACAAAAACTACTCGTTAATTAATGGAACCTGTATATAAACACCATGTGAAGATGTTGTGTGTTTATATCAACAAATATGGAGACGAAGCTTTATGAGGCATCTTTGAAAGGCGATGTGGAAGCACTTAAGACATTACTCCATCAAGACCAACTCATCCTTGATAGAATCTCACTCACCGCCTTCAATGAATCCCCCCTCCATATCGCCGCCATGCGCCGCCACCTCACTTTTGCCACGTTTCTTCTCACTCAAAACCCTAAACTTGCCATGGCTTTAGATACCCAAAAGCGAACCCCACTTCACCTTGCCGCCGCCGATGGCAACCTGGAGATGGTGCGGGAACTTTTACGGTTTGGGGGTCAGGGTCTGTGTGGTTCTCGAGATCATGATGGGTTAACCCCGCTTCATTTGGCTGCCATGAACGAACATTTGGAGGTTGTTAAGGTTCTGGTTCAGGTCAACCCTCAGGCTGCTAAAGAGATTCCGGCCACCGGAGAAACGATTTTACATATGTGTGTTCGCTATAATCGTTTTGAGTCGTTCAAAGTGTTGACTGAATTGTGGGACGATGATGAGTTGGCCAAGATCACAGATCTTGGTGGAAACACCCTCTTGCACGCTGCTGCAATCAATAGACAAATACAGGTATATTCTTTTAGATGCTTTCAATTCAGTTTTATAAAAAGTCCTCAACATCGTATTGGAATAATTTATAAGATCAAACAATTATCTGTGTTATGTAAAAACATATCAATAAGTTTATAGAACGTTTTTAGACGTCGTAACATGTAACAAGTTTCTTAAAACACTTTTGATATAAAATGTTATAGTGAATCTCTTATGTGGCATTTTTTGAAAAAAGAATTCTTATAAAAACAAGTTTCGTTTAAAAAGAATGTTCATTATACAACACTTAATTTAAAAGGATCTAGAAAAACTTAACTGTTAAGACGTCCACAATCATGCTATAAACTTATTACAATGCTATGCAAATTACATATAACTGTTTGGTTCTATAAAAATAAACCCATTAAAATAGTCTATCAAGACACTTGTACATCTATTGACAGATTTAATTTGTCCTAGTGTTTATATAAAGTTCGAATGAAATGCAAGTTTTTTATATTTTCTGAATGGAGTTTTGGTTTTGTGCAGATTTTGAACTATTTGCTCCAGAAACCATGTATCAAAGCTAATGGAAATGCTGTAAACAGACATGGATTAACCCCACTCGATGTTTTGGATCACTGTTCGCAAGATGTCAAAGCACTCGAAACACGAGCAAATCTAATGGAAGCCGGTGTTTTGAGAGTGAATGATCTTCGACCTCTTTCAAAACCATTACAATCATCAATTAAGTCCTCAGACTCTAAACAGAAAGGGTTCATATCCAGAACTTGGGCTCGGTATCTAAATGACGACCACCATTGGCTGGAAAAGCAACGTGGGATTTTAATCGTTGCAGCCTTGGTGGTGGCGGTGATGTCGGTTCACTCGGGGCTCAACCCTCCTGGAGGGACTATTTCCAATACCCAAGATGGTCGTTTTGAGCTTGGAAACGCAGTTCAAACAGAAGTTGACATGGATCAATACAACCAATTTGTGGCGTATAATACGATTACTATGATAATTTCTCTAGCGATAGTTCTTGTGTTGATCAGCGGATTTCCTCTGAGGAACAAGTTCTGGATGTGGGTGCTTACAATTGGAACACTGTTCGCGATGGTGTTCATGGTGGTTACTTATTATCACTCGCTGACGATGATTGCACCGGATGGATATGTCGATGTCGGGAGCGTTTGGATCTGTTTGATTTGGATGTTGGCATGTGGGATCTTGGCCTTGATTCATACCATCTTCTTTGTCGTCTGGGTGGTGATGAAGCTATCAAAGAGCAAGAGCATGGAGACCCAAACAAAAAGTAACCGTAGTGCAATCGAGGTCTGATCATGGACAAATCGTTTGGCTTTCGATTTGCTCAATGCTATATAATGATCAGTCCGAGTCCACTCGGTACAATCGGAGGTTTTACTGGCCGTTAATTTCACTTGTGGAATTAATCGCGAAGTGCGCAAGTTGACTCGAATGAGCACACGGTTATAAAAAAAATGATGATTTTGTAGGTATTTTTTCATTGTTCTATCATGATTGTAGTTATATGAAATTTGATCATGTACGTGGGTGTGAAATGCTTGTGCAAGTATGTGTGTTTGGAATGTTGATATGGAAGTCGATTTTATTTTTTGTCCAGTTCTCTTTATTTTATATGTCCTTCCGGTTCTCCGGTTCAGGTTACCAACAAATTAATACTAAAGGGTCGTTTATCAAACCCTTACCTGTAAATATTTACCGGTTTACATTATCTTACCGGATGAACATGACAAGTATCAAGTGTTGGAAATATAAGTAGGTTGGAGGTTTTCCTCAAACCCATCCCACATTGGTAGGAAGACTTAAAATAAGAGACCTTAGACTTTATTTTCAATTGGGCTTTGAACTAGTTGATGGACTCATGGTTGGGGTCATGAGTTGAAAGTCCAATGCATATGTGTGGCTAAGGATGAGGAGGTGGGAATTCGGAGTGGCACATGACGCATAGGAGTAAAAAAAGTCTCATCCCAAACTCTTGGTTTTTTTTACTATAAATTATTGAGAGATGTAGATAAATACTGATTAATTAAAAGTCGTTTATAATTAGTATTTATTCTTGATTTTAAGCAGATTAAAAACCGGATTTTAACTGGTTTTTTAAAAGTTTTAAGCATGATTTTTTTAATAAATTAGTGATAATTATTAGTTGACTAATAAGTCTCCCAACTTACCCCTTAATCTCCGATTCTTGGAAAGAAAGTTGCGGGGATTGAGGGTTTTAATCCCAGTTTAAATACCGGATTAAACCTCCAAAAATACACCTCTAATATGCGATTTCTCTCTCTCATTCTCTCTACATCCGATTTTCTTCCAGCTATCAGTTATGCATCTGCTTTACTCTACTTCATTGTCATAGATGTTGACAACCGGAATATATAACTGCATCGAATCTTGGGGTTTTACAACTAGAAGATTCACTCTTAATCTGCCATGGATTGTTGAAGATTACAGAAGATTGATCATTTCGTGGACTCTCATTTGGTATCAGAGCAGGTTATGCACTAAATCACGAGAAGAAATCAACAGATTTGAAGAATTTTTTATGAAATTTTTCTGGAATTTCAAAGTGTTCATCTAGTGTTCTTCATTTTTTTAACGAGTTAGATACAAAAAAATTTCAAAATTTTGTGTTTTTGTGTTAAAATTAGGATCAAAGTGTGCGTGATTATTTCGTGAATCTTTGTTATTCACAAAAATTTGTATTTTGATCATTAGTTCGAGAGATTTGGTGAAATTTGTGTAATTTGAAAAGTTATGGGTTTTTGAAAATTTTCATAAAAATCTTATTTTTGATCCAATTTTTTGGAAAAAGTAGTCATTTTTTGTGTTTTGGACATGGTTTGATCGGATTCAAAGTTCTTTGTATACAAGGATTACCCGGATTTTTTTTTCAACTAGTAATTCTCTCATAGTTTTGAGCGTATTTGGGAGTTTTCATGACTTGGCATTTTTTCTTCATTTCTATATCGCATCAGCCTGACCAAGTTAAGATTTCCTTGTACACATCATTGACCATTCTTGGTCAAAATCTCTTCATCGCACAAAGACAGTTATCTTCATCGCTCATCATACCTGTCCGAATTCAATTCAAGGTAAATCAGCTCAAGCAGAACATCTGGTTTATAGCCTTCATCGCTCACCTCCTATTCGGATTCCTTCAACATCGCACATCTCTCGACTGGTTTTAGCCTAAATCGCATACAACCCTATTCGATTTTAACCTAAATCGCACTCTATCCTGACCCAATCTCAGCCTAAATCGCATATCAAGTCAGTCGATTTCAATCGCTTGCTGTTTCATCTATGATTGGCTTTAATCGCACAAGTCAGTCGACTTCGCTTGACTTAGCTTACATCGTCTATAAGCTCGATCGGACTAAGGATAAATCGCTCGCAGAACCTGTTCGAATTCACATTAATCGCTGTTCTTTTTGTCTAATTTCAATTAAAATCGCTGATTAATTGTCTGTGTTAGCCAAAATCACAGATCTTGCTCACCTGATTTGACCTAAATCGCTCATAACTAAATCCGATTTTGAGTTGCATCGATTTCCAGCCCAGCCAGATTAGGTCTAAGCTGATTTGTGTTTCTTGACAGATTAGTGTTTGATTTTGGTTTCTTGACAAACTTGGTTGTGAGCCTCTCATTTCTCACACAACCTTACCCAAATACAGTCTTCCTCGCACAAGGCTCATCCGGATTCAAGGTTCATCTTGTAAAAGGTCATCCGGATTAGAGGCTCCTCACGCACCTCATTGTCCGGATTTGAATTCCTCGGTCAACACTTAGCCACGTACTCGCATCCTCTGGACTTGAAATTTCTCGTTCACAGCCACATCTCATCCGGATTTGTCCGAACTTGCATAAAGACTTAGGCGGATTAATGCCTTCATCGCTCAACAGCCTAGCCGAAATCTGTCAAAATCGCAGTCACTCGTATTCGACTTAGAATTAGACAAGTTCAATCCAAATTGCAAAAAGGCTCATCATCCAACTTGGGCTTTCTTTAGCCCATCCAGATTTGAGTTCCAAAAGACTTCCAATTTTGAGATATTTTTTTTACAAATTTTCTAGATTTCATTTTCTCATATTGAATCAGATTTTATCTGGATTTCATTTTTTGTTTAACTGTTTTTCACCAATTTACTGAATTTTGAGGATTTTATCTGTTTTTGATCTATTTTGAACTGATTTGAACTGTTTTGAGAATTTTGAACTTATTTGTGTCACGTAAACTGTTTTTGATTAGTTTTAACTGTTTCTAACTGTTTTTAACAGTTTTTAACTGTTTTCAACAGTTTTTTGATTATTTTCACTGATTTTTAACTGTTTTCGTTGATTTTCTTATTTCTGAACAGTTTTTGATATTTTCTGTAAAAAATTTTTGAGCTTACTGATTTCATCTGAAAGATTTTGTTGGTTTTTGATTTCTTTGATTGATTTCGCTTATTGCATTAGATTCTTTGATCAAAGTCATATAAAGATTTTGGGGGCTTTTTCAATGTTCCATTTTCCTGAAAACCCAAACCTATTTGCAGATAATAAAATCTTTTATCTTTGGGTTTATTTGTTAAAATCTTCAGTGTTTTTTTAGATTGGCCTCTTTTATAATTAATATCTTCCAATTGTTTGGTTTTATCATAAGGATTTCTTCTTTTAGTAAAAATCACGTCAAATTTTAATTGAATGTTATCTCTTTCACACTCTACTTCACTCAACTTCTCTTTTAAGCAACAAAAAATCATTTTCAATTTTGGTCTTTTCAGATTTAAGGATTTCTTACTCTTCTCACAGACCCTCACATAGACATTTATAGCCACAATTTGCTTCTTTGAATTTAAGCATCAAAGCTCTTTCAAGTTTTTCTATTAGGATTTTAAACTGTAACACCTCATAACTCATATTGCATATAACATATAATTCATTCAAAGAAATACATGTTTAATCCCACAAAGGTCCAAAGTACAAGAACTATATTACAAAATACACAACTCAAAAATTCCAAAATACATGTTCTTGTACTACATAACATTTAACTTCAAAGCACATCCAAGCATATAGGGAAACTAATCATATTTTTCCTTTTCCTTTACTATCATTATACTCTGTAGTTCCTGCAATACATATTTGAAACACAAAATAAGGATTAGACCTAATGGTCTAGTGAGATCCCTTTTCCCATGTAATTGTAGGGTGAAAATCACCAAAACATTATTTAAATCAATCATTTTACTCAATTTTGTTGAGGAGTTCAAACGGATGAAAGATTATGAGAAATCCTAATAGAATGTAGATAACTCTGAAGAGTCTCATTTTTTAAATAAGTTCCGTTGTCACTTCTAATTTTCTGCACTGAAAGTTGTAGAAGAACTTTAATGCGCTTGATAAATGCAATGATCAGCTCAGGCGCATCAAAATTGGCTCCCAGAAACTCTAGCCACTGGACATCTTCAAGAAGATTTTGTCTTTGCTTTATAAGAACTTTTGGTCATCGTTCCCATTTCGCATGCTGAGCACGATGAATCATTGTCAAATCTTAGTTCTGGCAGACCTATGACAAAATTAGTACTTACGAATTTATTTATGTCATTGAAGTTCTGATGTGATAATCTTCAATGTCATATCCAACTGTCTTCTTTTGATGCCTTAGAAATCAGGCAAATAGGCCGAGAAACAGTCAGAGTTGAAAAATTCACAGCTTACAGATTACCATAGCATTAAAATAACTTCAATTTCATCAGAATCAATGATGACACAACCTTTAACGAAAAAATTGACGTCAAATACATTATCGCAAAAATGGTTGATACTGAAAATTTTATGTTCTAGTCCTTCAACGTTAAACACCTTCTTGATCGTCATAGATGTCATTTCATAATGTGATATAACCTCTCACATGACCCTTTTCTTTGTTTCCAAAAATAACTGTTCCACCATCATTTTTTCTGAAATTAGTCTGGTGTCCTGTCATTTGTCTTGAGCATCCAAAGTTAATGTACCACACATGATAGTCTTGTAAAATAACCACTTAGATTTAGGTACCCATTTCATAATAGGTCATTTTGGGTTAGAATCAACAAGGTTAGTAACGCGCCATTCATATTTCTACTTTGAAACGCATTTCCAAACAAACTTTATGTCAACAAAATATGGTTCATCTTTCTTTTGAAAAAATTTCTTTGAAAGATTTTTCTTATTAGCTCTTGAACCATTTACATTTTTGATTTTATGTGATGGATCTGGAGAAGATTTTGAATTCTTTGATCTGAATTGCTTTTTGGGAAAGAATTATAACCACAACAGTTGCAATGTAAATGTTTCGGTGCCAAAGACAACATATCTCAATGTGATTTTTTTTTTTGATTTTTTCAAGTCAGACTTCAGTACATTTGTTCTTTGCAATATGAGAACATTTAGAACTATCAAATTATACATTTGAGCTTTTTATAGAAGAACTAACTTTTGAAATATTTGCACTTTTCATCTGCAAATGATCTTTCTTTCTCCACACTCTACCAATATTTTTCACATTTGTCACAGATAAAGATCTTAAGATAGTAGATGACTTGGCAGTTGAACATTCAAATTTAT